ATAAAGCCAGAAGAAGAAGAAGAAGAGAAGAAGAAGAAGATAATTGATATAACTATACCAATAATATATAATGTACAATAATTTTAAATTGCGTTTTCACACTTCTTTATCATCTTCCATCAGTCAACTTTCTGTTAAATTAAAACAGTGCCTACGGTTTTTATAGTTATAATAGTTATTATAATAGCTGTTATTGATCCTAAAAATTAAAACTACTCGTGTCGTACGTAGATACTGTCGGTTTTAAACAAATTCAAATATTTTAGTTTCCCAATAGGACAGAACAATTATTTTCTAAAAATCGCAATTACAAAATTTAATAAAATATAAATATAAATATTTCCTGATATAGTGATGTATATCCATTATCATAGTATTTTGAGTATGTTTAAAATGGATAGCTGGGCATAATATAGCAGTTTTTACTTACTATAATATAACGTTATTATAATATTGGTCATAATTAAATGTTTTTTATTTTTCACAAAAGAAAAAACCCGAAAGATCTAGTAATTCGTGCTGGTGAATGGGATTTACAAACGGAAAATGAATTGCTACCGTCACAAGACCACCAGGTTCTGAAAATAATCAATCATGAAAATTTTGACCCCGATGTAATTGCGAACGACGTGTCACTAATCATTGTCACAAAACCGTTCTTACTCAGAGATAATGTTGGCACTCTCTGTTTGCCCAGCCTAAATTATGTGTTCGATAACCAAAGATGCTATGCCAGTGGTTGGGGAAAAAAAAGTATTCGGTAAGCATGGTAATTATTAACTAATATTATACATCACCAATGTGATTCGTGTTGATATATGTGAAATATTATTACATTTATTACCCAGAGATATCTGCGAAAAACATCTACATTTCTGAGGCAAAATCGGAACTCCCAACATCGATCAACCAGTCGACTTATGGGTTTACTACTTTCCATGGCTGGGGGGACCTCATGAGATGTTAGAAAATTACATATTGTTTCATCTTACATTTTCTTATTCTTCTTAATTTTTTTTAGATTCTGACCGTATGTGTATATATACTGTATATATATACCGTAGGTGATATGAAATGTCTTGTACTTAAAATGATGTGTGTTTTATATTATATTATATTTTTTCTTATTTTCCACTCCTCTCAGAATCTAAAATTAAACCATAATATTATAGAAAAAATGTTTTTAGATTATTTTTATCTTGCTTTTATTTTTAAGTGCTTTTTTAAGCGCTTATTTTGATGATTATAAGTGAAATTAGTCCCAAACCCTGCTAAAGAATATACAGTTAGCATTCTGTGAGACCATTTTGGGAAAAAATAAGGGACTTCATAAAACATATTGTGATTAGTGATCATTTTCATTAACCCTTTCTGGAGAAGTAAACCTCAAAACTGTTCATTATTGGTCTTACTCTAATTAGTAATTCCCATGTATTAATGCAAGCACTTCCTCAATATTTATTTTTTATTTTATTGAATTATAAGAGAACGTCTCACCCGGATGTGTTGTCTCCGTCTTATACACGTACGGCATAGCAAATTTTCATTTGCTAGTTTCAATATGGTATGTCAGTTTTTGATATTAAAGTAAATCGACATATATCAAACTTTTAGGTAACAAATTATCTGTGTTCTTTTCGGTTTTTTAACGATAGTTTTAATTTTTAAATGAGTTATGAACATTTTAGAATATGAATACTTTACATCCCCATAACTCACTTAAAAATTAAAATATCGTAAAAAACCAACGAGAGAACACTGATACTGTTCTTACCTAAAAGTTTAATAATAGGTAAATTCACTCTAATAAAAAAACGGACAATACCCTATTGAAACTAGCCAACGAACATATTTGCTATGTCGTATGTGTGTAAACGGAGACAACACATGCGGGTGCGACGTCCTCTAAGTGTCTTAGTTTCATGATTTAAACCTATATAAATCATATAATTACATAAAATATAGTCAATATAAATATTGGTATCTAGCTAAGCCACCTAAAATAATCAAAAATATATGGTAGTGTATAAGAAATGTAACTTCGCAAAAAAAGGCTTTTTACCAAAAATAAATACAGTTTTTTTGTAGTGTGTGTCAAGAGTATACCGACTTAAGTGTATAAAAATATGAATGATAATAATGAAAATAATAACGAATATAATGAATTGAAATATGTATTATATTTTATATACGATAATAATTATGTTTTCATTTTTTTTCTAATTCGTCGTTTAGGTAAATTAGCTGTAAAACAATTAATGAAAAAATAGATTTGCCAGTCGTGCCACGAAGTTCGTGCTTGGAACTGTTAAGAAAGACCAGGTTGGGTTTGGATTACATATTGCCTGAAAGTTTCATTTGTGCAGGTGGAGAAACAGGCAAAGATACTTGTCAAGTAAGTGTATTCTAAGATAATATATAACATAATCTAACGCTATAGTCTATACTAGACTTTGTTAAAAATACTTGTTGTGATATATAATAATATTTATTTGGTACCTAAAACAAAAAAGTACAGATTTATTTATTTTGGAGTAAAATGTTAAACGTACCTATCTAAGGACCTACTGGCAATACCTGTATACTTATATTTTGTCAACCAATTCATGGATCAGATTTCTTATAAAACATCCTTCACATTTAAAAATAATACAAATCACATTGAAATCATGGCCCTATGGCCCAATGCCAAAGTTATAATTCATTTTTACATTTAAGTAAAATGACTTCCTACAATCTACATATTTTATTATTATTTTATGTTTGAACTTTGAACATAACTTACCTTATTATATTGTATAAATCGTTAGTTGTATCTATTATTTTATAATATGCTGGTTTTTTTTTTTAATATTTGATATCTACCTATATTTAAAAGATCGGGTAAGTAGATTTCGCTCTTCTGTACAGTAGGTTTCAAGTGGGTCAATGTATAATGAAGTTAGTAATCATAATTTGGATGGCTTTTGGATCGACTGACTGGGTAGTATTTTGTAGGCTGGGCCTAGCGGCGGTTGCATAATAAATTATGACTGAGGGAAGATTTGAGCATCTTCCTTTGATGGAGGTGTGTTGGTTATAGGTGATTGATGAAGATGGGTTGATTGAATGCGCTGGTGATTGTATGTGGGCAAGGATGCTGGTTTTGCACCTTTAGTCTTTAAGAATTCTTGACATTGTTTGTAGTTAGCTGTGCGAAGGTCTTCATAATTAATGCACTCGGGTGTCGGTTCAGGAGTCCTGGAGCAGTATTTAGCCAAGTGAGATCCATCACATTTCACGCATCTTGGGGTGAATCCGCAGTAAATGCTGGAATGACCAAATCTTTGACATTTAAAGCACTGGGCTAGGTTTTTCGCTTTGTAGGCATCTACCTTAACTGAGATATAAGATAAAGAAGATTCCTTAATTATTGACTTGCTGGCAGGGTCGTTTTGAAGGAGACTATATATGAAGGGGCAATTTTATTCCTGCTTTAACAAATTGGAGAACTGCAGAGAGTTCGTAATCGTTGAATACGAGTTCTTCGGTGAGTTTGGGATCGAAGATATCAGTAGGCAAGTCCCTGATTATGACTTTGATTGTTTTTTCTTCGGGACTTGGAAACGCAAAAAAATTCAGTTTGAGTGTTCTTAAAATATTTTTGGACAATTCTGAATTCTGAACATTTGGCCGAGTCATTCTCGAAAGCTTTGACTTTGCTCGAGTCGATAAGAACTGCTGTAGTTTAGTCACAGCTTTCTTCCAGACTGAAGTAGAAGTGATTAGTGTCGGTGGAGGTTTGATCTTTGGTTCGACAGGTGGAAGGTCTTGAGTAGGTGTATGTGAAGAGTGACTGGAGTTTGATTTTTCCGGAGTGGAAGTATGGATGGTCGTTGGTGCTGATCTTGGTGTAGATTTAAAATCGGAGAGTGAAGGTGAGTCTAAATCAGGTTGACTTGATATTTGGGCTATTATGGTTGCCTCTGAATTGGATGACATGGATTCGAAGTCTAATGAAGAAAGAGGTTCGTTATCTTTTATTTTTTTTTTTGGTGGACGTCTGAAGTGGAGGAGCCGATGAAGTTGGTCTTTTGATTGTAACCATTTGAGGAGGAATAAGATTTGGAACGTTTTTCTTTACTCTCGTCATTATTACTAGTGGTAGGACGGTCGTGAACGATGCACAGACCCAACCCAGAGGTGCGATTTCTCGGGTTCACTTGCCTCGTGGTCGGTGGGGGGGGGAGTAGTAAAAGTGGTACTTACGAATAATGTATGATGTATGAACGTGTTGTTCATTCAGACCAAAGCGAGTGCCATGTTCAACGCTGAATGTCACTTTGAGGTGGTGAACACAGAACGTCGACAGGCTTGACTCGTGTGTCTTGTCGCGTACTGGAAGAACTGCTGAAAAGAACTGCGATGTGAACTGTCTCATTGTCCACTTTTTTTTTTTTTTTTGTTTTAATTGTTTTTCACTGTGTCGAGCTATCGCTTGATTTACGGAATGTATTTTAAATGGATTGTGATCCTGGGCTTACGAATAATGGCGAAAAGTTAGAAGTTGATTGATCCTTTTTTGAAATGTTGTGAGGTTGGTCTTCTTCTGCTGATTTCAGAGATATGATTGTGTGAAGACTTGATGATTTGGGTTTTGACGGAGTTGGTAAGTTGGTTTATATGGTCCATGATAGGTAGGATGTTTGTAGAGTGACGGATTGCCTTGTTGTTGACGAACCATGGTTGGCCAGAAATTTGCCGGAGAGATGTTGATTGAAGCCTTTCAAGCTTTTACCAGCTGCTAGCTGATAGGTTGGAGGCTCAGATGTGAGAGGCATATGCTTTGCTTTGCTTTGTTTGATGGCCGTGGGGCCTATGTGCCAGTGTCAGGCGTGAGCCTATGAGTGGCGGGAATGTTCTGGTTTAGTATTTACTGTTTATTACTGGGAAACCAATCAAGATGTCGAGTGTGATTTAAAGTTAGGAGTGGGTTAACTCTTGTACGACCTAGGTCACGGATGTGTGGGTGGGGAGATAGAAGATTTTTGTGGAATAGTGTTTTACCATTTTTCTTGATTTTGTCTTCGATGGAGTCTAGACCGGAGGACTTGCGAATAGTGTCATTATTAACGAACCAGGGTGAGGCGGTGTTTGTCTGTAAGCCAACGTTTTGGACAGATTCAATCTTTCTCAAGTTCGAACGCGCCAGTAATGGCGCCCAGGCTGGACCGGCATATGATAGAACTGAGCCAATGTACAATTGGAGGCATGTGATTTTAGCTTTAATCGGTATCGTACTGCGGTGATTCAGCACCGGGTACAGCAATCCCTAATTGCTGTTGCTCTTTTTCTGATGTTCCACCACTTTCAATTTCCATTTTTGAAATCAGGCCATTGCAAGGTCAACCTGTTTTAGGCGCTGGATGGCTGCTCTTGAAGTGTTTCGGTTCGTGGTGGTTAGCATAGTATCATCAGCAAAGAGTGAGAGTGAGGCGTTGCTGTTTAGTGGTATGCCATTTGTGTATGCTGTGTATAGGAGCGGGGAGAGGCAGGAGCCTTGTGAGACGCCTGCGCGTATAGGTTTGGAGCTGGATGTTTCGTTCTCAACCCGTACAATGAAGCTCCGGTCTTCTAGAAAAGATTTAACAAGTGCCAGTAGGTAGGCCGGAGTGTTCAGATGGTGAAATTTGTATAACAGACCTGGGTGCCATACTTGGTTGAACACTTTTTCTATGTCAAAGAAGATGGCTGCTGTACGTTGCTTGTTTTCTTTATTTACTGATAGACCGTCAATCAGGCCTACCAGTTGATGGGTTGTCGGGTGGTGAGAGGCATATGCTTTGCTTTGCTTTGGGGGATGGCTGAGCCTTGAAACTATACCAGGCTTTTGCCTCTACTAGTGGTTGGATGTTTACTGAAGGGGGTTATTAAAATTGTTGGTCTACCCATGTTAAAGGGTAGGGTTTGATTTTACGCTTTGTGGTTTGAGGGGTGTGCGATTTACCTAAGAGTCGGATGTGGGCATGAATAGAGAAAGAGTTTTTGTAGAACATCGATTTGGATTGGCTATGAATAGAATTTTTGATAGACTTGAAATTTGCTGATTTTAGAAGGACCGAGTTTTTAACGATAGTGGGCATACCCGTTATTGTGCAAATGCCGATGTTTTGAACAGATTCAATACGTTTCCAATGTGAGGGACCGATAAAGGGTGCCCAAGAGGGGCCAGCAAAAGAAAGAATTGGGGAGACGTAGAGTTTTAAAATATTGAGTTTTGAAGATTTTGGGACGGGGCTAGAACGGTTGAGAATGGGGTAAAGAATTCCGCGAACGCGAGTGGCCTTTTTGGAGATGTCTTGAACGTGTTTGTCGAAGTTGAGTTTGCGCCCTATTGTAAAGCCGAGGTATTTGGCATGATTGGACCAAAATACTGGATGGTTGTCGAATAGTAGTGGTGGGATGTGAGTAGTATTAGAACGTCCGAAAAGAATACCTACAGTTTTGGTAGGGTTTATTTTGATTTTCGAGCGATGAAACCATGTGGTAGCTGGGTTGATTTGGTGTTGTAATTGTATGGCTGCTCGTTTCGGGTTTTTGTTGAAACTCGAAAGTAAGGAACATAGTGTCGTCAGCGAATAGTGAGCGATGTGCTTTAGGAGTTGTCGGTATGTCGTTTATGTAAGTCAAGTAGAGAGTAGGTGAAATGCAGGATCCTTGAGGGACGCCTGTGAGTATGTGTCTGGTGTACTAGAATGAGTCTTCGATTTTAGTAACGAAGGTGCGGTCAGTGAGAAAGGATTCGATGACTTTAACGATTTCAGTCGAGATGTTGAGTTGGGATAGTTTGTAGAGGAGACCGATGTGCCAGACCCGGTCGAAGGCTTTCTCCACGTCAAGGAAAATGGAAGCAGTGTTAACGTTGTCGTTAAAGTTCTGACTAAGTTGGTGAGTAAGTTTGGTCAGTTGTAGAGTGGTAGATTGTTCAGGTCTGAAAATTGTTCTGGGCGGATTTTGTCTCGAAGATTGATTTGAAGGTGAGAGATAATGATTCGTTCGTAAATTTTTGATATGGAGGAGAGTAGAGCGATTGGTCGGTAGTTTTCGGGTAGTTCGTGATATTTACCTGGCTTGGGGATGGAAATTATCACTGCTTTTTTCCAAGCACGTGGAAAGTAGCAAATTCTGAGGGAGCAATTTATAATTTGTGTTAAAAATAGTAGAATGCTGTTCGGTAGAAATTTAAGAGCAGTGTTGGTGATGATATCGTCACCAGGTGCTTCCTTTTTGCGGAGGTTGTTTATGATTTTTTGGATTGTGCCAGGAGTGGTGAATAAATTAGATTTGGGGATATTAATGTTTCGAAGTTAGTTGGAGAGGCAGAAACTTCTGGAAGGTCGGAACCAGGGTTTGGTTGGAATTGGAGTTCGAGAGAGTCGGCTACCAACTCGGCTCGATCGATGGCCGGAAAAACTAGACCGTTGGGGCCGGTAAGAGGGTGGGATGCAGGACGTTTTTGGAGGAGACATTTGTTTGATTTGTATATGGAACCGTCCTGATGGTCAAGAGAATTAAGAAAAATGTCCCACTGGTCAGTTTTGTGAGTGTCGAGTAAAGTTCTGATTAGTGAGATTTTGGCGTTAAGTTAACGTTTGGTAGTCGGGTCACGGTTTCTTTGCCATTGACGGCGTAACTGGTTTTTTTTTCAGTTATTTCAAGTTTTATGTAGTCAGGTAGTAAAAAGGAAGAGTTTTTGTGTTTAGGGGTAAATACGCTAGCTTCGATTGAGTGTTGTATGTTTTTGGTGAGAGTATCAATTGCCAAATCAATTGACTCACTGTTGATGTTCGATCATTCAGTTGGGTTTGGTAACTTGGATAGGATTGTTTTGTATTTTGTCCAGTTAATGAAGCGGTTAGTCGTTGGAGCGGACGATGATACCGGAGAACACAAGGTCTCCAGAAGGATAGGGTTGTGGTCAGAAGATAGCTCGTTGAGGTTGTCGATTTGAGTAGGATAATTTAGTCGAACGAGAGCGATGTCAAGTATGTCGGGTCTGTATCTAGCGTTTGTCGGGAAGTGTGTAGGGGATGAGGGAGCAGTAATGGTATAGTAAGATTGTTGAACGTGATCAAAAAGGACACGACCGGCAGCGTTTTTCAAGTGGCTATACCAAAGAGGGTGTTTGGCGTTGAAATCACCTGCCGAAATTTGCCATTCAGCACTTTGGGTCAACAAGTCCAAGTCGTGAGACATGAGTGTTTCACCTGGTGGTTTGTATACCGCTGATATAAGTACTTTATGGCCGTTTAGTTGGATGAGGACGGCAGATGTTTGAATGAGTGTGTTAAGAGTTATAGGTTGGTGAATGATGCATCGGTGGATTAGAACAGCCATGCGGCAGTGAGCAGGCCAGCCGCGGACGGGCGGCAGATCATTCCTGTATGTGAAGAAGTTTGAAATGTGAAGTTTGGTAGAAGGGGGTAGACGGGTTTCGTTAAGTAGAATTATGTCGGTTTTGAGAAGGAGTGCGAGGGAATGTAGTTCGTTGAGTTTGTGTTTGATGCCGCTGGAGTTCCAAAAAAGTATTTTTAAATTACTCATTTTGGGGCGAAAGAATGGACAGGAAAGTTTTGATAGTTGTTTCTATAAGTGTTTTTGGATCTTGGTTGTTTGATAGTGCAGTCAATAGGTTGGTGAGCAAGTTGAGTATTGTTGTCAAGTTAAGTTGTGGGGGTGGGGAAGTTGAAAGAGTGTGGGCTGGTTTGGATGTAGCTGCGGAGTATGTTAGTGTAGAGTTTTGTGGGGAGGGGGGTAGGTGGTGGTGGAGTGGTTGAGATTGGTTGAACGGTTTGTTGTCTAAAGGAGTTTTGGGTTGAGGATGGAGATACCTGTTGTTTTTGGACCAAGAATTGGGGGGGCAGCCACGGAAATTGGCGGTGTGCGGGCCACCACAGTTGCAGCATGTCGGGGATTGATCGGAAGTTTTGGAGCAGACGTAGGCAGTGTGGTTTCCAGCGCATATTACACATCGCGGCGAATGACCACAGTTACGTGAACCATGGCCAAAGCGTTGACACGAAAAGCACTGGGCCGAGCCGGAGGGTTTAAGTGATTTAACTGAAATTTGTAGATAAAACAAGTTATCAAGAGAAAAAATGTCTTTAGCCGTATGATTGGCGGCGATGTGTACAGCACATATGGGCATTGGTTTCTCCGGAGTTCAGTACCAACTAGGAAACATATCAATTATTCGGTTATTCGATGGATTTGGCAGTATCTCGGTCATTTTTCGGGTTACATCCATGGGGAGGATACTGTTGTCTTCGTAATGACCTCCCCTATCCATGGCCATACTTGAGATATTCGTATGAAGTAAGGAGAGGCTTGGAATTTCTCCCTAAGCCCATAATATGGTTTGCTGCATTCATTCTATGCTGTGATTGGTTGTCAGATGCTACGGGTTGTTTGCTCTGTTAAGAATTGTCCCTTTACAACCAATTATACATATATTTTTTGCTTCAAGCGTTGAAATAGATCAAGATATTGAAAAGAGACTATACCCGCCCCGGAATAAGAAGATGACTGCCCGGCGTACAGTTTTGCGTCCGTTTCGCATTGCCGGTTTTTTGATTGGCTCCCCGAAACCTCTGGAAGTGGTCGCAAAGACAAGCGGTGCGCGGAGGAAGTTGTTTTGACTGCGGGCCCAGTCATCTTCTTATTCCGCGGCGGGTATAGAAAGTAGGAGGCTTGGTCGGTACAACTGAACGACGAAGAGCACTACGACGATTTTAACGCTACCAACACTCACTGAGCGAGGTATGGTGTTGGCGTCTACTGACCTCATTCATACGTCAATATCAATACACGTACTCATCAATATCGTCGTAAACTCGAAGGCATTGATAAGTGTTTATCTAATATGTATAACGGCAGTTTGAAAACCGTCTACCTGGGTAACCACTTCAATTAATTAGATCGGTTGTGTGGTTTTAGTTAGGTATTATCATGTATATAATGCCCCAAACACAACGGGAATGGCAGGGAAGAGTGTGTAGTCTCTGTTGAATGTTCTACTCTGTGGTTGGTGGCCGTATATATGATGTTTGAGTTGTAACCTGGTGTGTTATAGACATAGTTCACTTTTGTGACCTATCTTTTTTCCACAATCATAATTTCATGATTGACTAATTTTCTCATGTTCTTTAAATCTTCCTGATAAAGAATATGTATGACTTTGTTTACTAAATTAATTAGTTTAATTAGTAAAAATCCGATTACCGACGGGCGGCTTGCCGATGTAATGATA